TGGTAGGAGAGTGGTAGGGCACTTACCTGGCTATGGTGGACACCGTCTTCATCACCTTGTTGGGCGCTGCATCTGGAAGGCCCCAGTTAGGGTAGCGCTGCACCAGGGCAGCTAGAGGCAGAGTCAGGCATAGCGGACCAAGTCAAGCAGCGGCATAGCTGCTTTGGGTTGTCTTCTGGACATCAGGGCAGCACCATAGCTGCCACCCAGTAGTCCGCCATGGCCTATGCATGAGAGAGGAGGTTGAAGGAGGGAAGACATAGCCATGCTGGACTTGTTGTTGTTGTTGTTGATTGTGAGTTGAGTCAGCAGTAAGGGGGAACTTCGGATATTGATTCTGGTTCATCCATTCATTGTTATGATTATTATTGAGAGAAGAATAAGATTGGTGAAGAGAAGGAGGATGAGGAAGGTGGAGAGAGAAGGGGGAATTTTCATTGGTCTTGCTGGTGTACTACTTCTTCTTCTTCTTCTTGTTCTTTACCTCTCCTCTGGTCTTTATCTCTTTGCAAGTGCTTTCATTTCTTTCGCAATTGGGTGGCATTGTCTTTCATTGTGAATTTGCACTTGGGAAATGACCAGGATCGTAACACACATACGCACAGGCTAGAAAGGGCATTCCTCGCCCGCAATCCAGATCAGCGAGAAGCAAACATTTTGTGGAGGACAGGAAGAGTGCTTGCACGCATCATACAACACTCTTTCTACATTCTTCAAGACAACCTCCCCATCTCTGCCTACGAAACTCTCCTCCTGCGCCCTTCCTACTATGGTCCCATTTCCCACCCCGGCTCTCTCCCACCCAGCCTTAAAAGAAAGAAAAATTGAACGGATCGCCCCAGGTAATTCAGAGTAGTTTCGTTCATCTGATCCCATTAGGATTTGAACTCAGGTCTGTATATCAACACTTCATGGGTGTACCATTCAACCACATGGGCTGGGTTCTCTCCCACAAAGCTTTCTCATCCCACCGCATCGCGTTCGCTCCCCTTTCGCCCTCTCTCCCCCCTCTTCTCTCCCCATCAAATAGGATGCCCTTCCACTTTGGAACCTAAATCCTACCTTTCAAATCTGCAGCCTGAAAACCGGGTTACTAGCTATGGAGCTCAGCTGGTTCTGGCTGCATGGGTGCCCAACCAGGCAACCCGGTCGGGCGAGGTCCATTGAAGGTCCCAGACAGCCCCAGTGCAAAATATAAAGAGCCCTCGGGAAGGAAAAAAGAAACACAAAATTTTGGACGTAAAAATCTAAATGCTGGAAGTAGGGAAGACAGTATAATAACAGAAACAGGCCAGCATGTAGATAAATAGAGAAGCGAAGGCACACTGGGTTGGAAAGACCTGAGAAACCGGTATGCCAGGAAATCATGACATTGTGACAATTGGGGGGCACGCGCCTGAGGGACTGCCTGGAACACCCCCCCTGCGCCCCGCCCTTCTCGAGATTGTCCTGCTGCGTGCCTGGGTACTGCTAGTAAGCCTCCCGACCTGCAAGACAATCCCAGAACAAGGGCCATGCACCTGTGACAAAAAAAATCATGCACTGTTGAATCGTGCTTTCCGCTGAAGTAATATCGTCTATATCTTGCCAGCAATTCTCCCTCTCGAACTGGGGGGGGGGG